CACGAGCCACAGCAAAAAAGCAACCCCTTGGGTCCCTGCTGCTGCTGTTGCTGGTGTTGCTGCTGCTGTTCCTGCTGCTGTTGCTGTTGCTGCTGTTGCTGCTGTTGCTGCTGCGGTTGCTGTTGTTGCCGTTGCTGCTGCTGCTGCTGCTGCCGCTAGGACTCCTGTTGTTGCTGCAGCAGAGGCCGCAGCTCGTTGAGCCGCTCCCGTCCAGAAGTTCCTTCAGAGCTCCGCCAGCAGCAGGCATCTGCTGCTGCTGCTGCGGCTGCTGCTGCTACTGCTGCGGCTGCTGCCGACAGCGTCGGCTCGCTGCTGCTGCTGCAGCTGCTGCTGCTGCTCCTTCCCCTGCTCAGCGCAGGCTGCTGCATCGGTTCATTGTTGAGAGTCTCTGCCAAGACTTTAAAAGTTTAACGCTGCTGTTCCAGGTGTGGAAGGCAGCAGCAGCAGCAGCAGCAGCAGCAGCAGCAGCAGCGCGCATGCGCTGCAACTTTGCGCGTCTTGGGCCCCACACAACACTCTTATTCTCGTGGTTTTTCAAAAATAATGAATTGAAAATAAAATAAATTATAATTAAAAAGAAAATAAAGAAGATCGCCTCGAGAACAGCTGCTTCCAAACCCTAAACCCTAAACCCTAAACCCTAATCGCCAAACGCTCGCCGGTGAAGGAAGCAGATCTACTCCGTTAATGCAAAAAAATTCAAATTCAAAAACTTTTCTTTTTTATTTATTTAAATATTTCTTTTAATTTTATTAATAAAGTTTTATAATCCGGAAAATGCAGCAGCAGCGGCGGAGCTGTGTGGGCTCACGGCTTACAGTTGCTGCTGCAGCTGCTGCTGCAGCAGCACGAGCTGCAGCAATAGCTGCAGCAGCGACTGCAGCAGCAGCAACAGCTGCAGCAGTACCGGCGGCAGCAGCAGCAGCAATAGTTGCAGCAGCGACTGCAGCAGCAGCAACAGCTGCAGCAATACCGGCGGAAGCAGCAGCAGCAATAGCTGCAGATCAGTAATCACCAAATGACAAATCTCGAGCCTTCATCGTATCCACTGTTACTGCTGCTGCTGCTGCTGCTGCTGCTACTGCTGCTGTAACTGCTGCTGCTGCTGCTGCTGCTGCTGGTGTTAGCTTCCTCACTCCTTGTTTCCTCTTTTCGATTATCACGTTTTCCACTGCATGCAGTGCTGCTGCTGCTGCTGCCAGTTTTGCTGCCTGCACAAACTTAGGCACAGCTGCTGCTGCTGCTGCTGCTGCTGCTGTTGCTGCTGCTGCTGTCCTAACTTCTAAAACTTTGTTCATTTTGCCGTTGCTGCTGCCATTTGCATTATTGTCTTTACTATTATTTGCATTTCATTTAGTCTTTTTCTATTTTTGCTGCTTCTATTATTGTTTGCTGCTCTTGCTGCTGCTGCTGCTGCTGCAAGTGCCGCTATCCTTTGGTTGCTGCTGCTGCACTTCAAACTTGTTTCCGTTTCTCACTTCCCGCTAGGGTTTAGGGTTTAGGGTTTAGGGTTTGCTGGTGCTGCTGCTGCAGGTGTTGCTGCCAGCTAAAAGGCGATGATACTAAAGGCTTCCCCAGTTGCTGCCGTTATGGCTAGCTGTAGCTAGCCATAGCTAGCCACAGCTAGCCATGACTAGCTACAGCTAGCCATAACTAGCCATGGCTAGCTACAGCTAGCCATAACTAGCCATAGCTAGCCATAACTAGCCATAGCTAGCCAATTCTGGCCGCAGCTAGCCACAGCTAGCCATGGCTTGTCACTGCTGGCCACGGCTAGCTACAGGTAGCCACAGCTAGCCATAGGTAGCCGCACCTAGCCGCAGCTAGCTACAGCTAGCCACAGCTAGCTTGAGCTAGCTACATCTTGCTCCGGCTAGCCACAGCTAGCTAGGGCCAGCCGCAGCTAACCACAGCTAACCACAGCTAGCTACAGCTAGCTACAGCTAGCCGCAGCTAGCTACAGCTAGCCGCAGCTAGCTACAGCTAGCCGCAGCTAGCTACAGCTAGCCGCAGCTAGCCACAGCTAGCTACAGCTAGCTACGGCTAGCTCACTGCCGCAAAGGGCAATGAGCCGCAGCCAGCTTTAGCTAGCCGCAGCAGCTTCATGAGGTGTACGTACACCTCAACAAATGCCTCTTTAAGCTTTTCCCTTGAAAAACAAAATGTCAAAACGGGTGTCCCTAGACCAGCAGCAGCAGCAGCAAGAGCTGCAGCAGCTCTTGCTGCTGCTGCTGCTGCTGCAGTGCCTGCTGCAGCTGCTGCTGCTGCAGCTCCTGCTGCTGCTGCTGCTGCGACTTCTCCCTCGAGCCGCTCGGCTGTCCCTGCAGACCAGCTGGCTTCGGCAGCCCTTGCTGCAGCAGCAGCAGCAGCAGCAGCAGCAGAGGCAGCAGCAAAACAAAAAAGTTTATTTGATTTATTTGAACATTGAATAGCAGCAGCCATTTAAGTTTTGAATGGGTGTGGGGTGTGGGGCCACGACGGCCCGTTCGACCCAGACTCT